ATCCACTGAGTAACACCAGTTCAGGCAAGCTTACTTATTTTGTAACTGGAAATTTGTACCTCTTGATCCCCTTCACCTTTTTGGTCCATCCCTCTACTCTCCTTTATATCTTTTTTTTTTTTTTTTTTTTTTTTTTTTTTTTTATCCTCACCCGAGGACATTTTTCCATTTTTTGTTCAGATAGAGCGGGAGGGAGAGAGAGGAAGAGAGAGAGAGAGAAACATCGACGTGAAAGGGACACATCGAGTGGCTGCCACCCGCACGACCAACCAGGGCCGGGGACAAACTGCAACCGAGGTACGTGCCCTTAGCGGGAACTGAACCCGGGTCTCTCTGTACCGCGGGCCGACGCTCCAACCGCTGAGCCAAACCGGCCAGGGCTCCTTTATATCTTGATCTGGGTTCTGATTACACAGGCTTATACTTACATAAAAATTAATTGAGCTGTACACTTAAGATTTGTATTTTGTGTGTTATACATCAATTTTTTTTTTTTTAAATCCTCACCCAAGGATACTTTTCCACTTATCCTCAGATAGAGTGGAAGGAGAGGAGAGAGAGAAACATCGACGTGACAGGGACACATTGATTGGTTGCCTCCTGCACGACCCCAACTGGGGCTGGGGATGAACCACAACTGAGGTACATGCCCTTGACCGGAATCAAACCTGAGACACATTAGTGCTCCAGCTGACACTCTAACTATTGAGCCAAACTGGCCAGGGCTATACATCAATTTTTTATAAATGTTTTCATTGATTTTTTAGAGAGAGAGGAAGGGAGAGAGAGATAGAAATATCAATGTGAGAGTGAAGCATCAATTGGCTGCCTCCTGCATGCCCCCTACTGGGAATCCAGCCTGCAACATAGGCATGTGCCCTGACCGGGAATCCAACTGGGACCTCTCAGCCCATGGGACAACGCCCAGTCCACTGAGCCACACCAGCCAGGCATATACATCAATTTTTTTAAATTAAAAATTTTGCCTGGCCAGCATGGCTCACTGGTTGAGCATCTACCCATGCATCAAGAGATCTCTTGTTCAATTCCTGGTCAGGGCATATGCCTAAGGGTGAGGGGCAAGCAGGAGGTGGCCAATCAGTGTTCTCTCTCATCGATGTTTCTATTTCTCTCTCCTTCTCCCTTCCTCTCTCTCTAAAATCAATAAAGAAAAAATATTAAAGAAAAAATCTTAAGACTTCATTCATTGAGATGTATTCCTGATTTATAGTTCTTACCATCCTTGTTCTACAAGGCATTCCTAACTGTTTACTTAACTCTGTTCATTTAGTCACTTTCCTGGTAGGTAGGATTCCAGATTCTGCTATCACAGAAGGACCGGTGAGAATGAAACTTCCTATTAATGGAAGGAAGGTGGTTTGACCAAAGATGTGCCATGGAAAATTGTTAATAAGAAACTACTTGCCTTGGCCAGTTTGGCTCAGTGTTTGGAGCGTCAGCCCGTGGACCAATGACTCACAGGTTCAATTCTGGTCAAGGGCATGTACTTCAATTGCAGTTTGTCCCCGGCCCTGGTTGGGGTCGTGCGGGAGGCAAACAGTCATTGCATCCCTCTCATGTCGATGTTTCTCTCTCTTTCCCTGTCTCCCATTTTATCTCAAAATAAATGGAAAAATACACTCGGGTAAGGAATTTAGAAAAAGAAACGGGGGTGGGGGAGGCTCTACTGTCCCTGCCCTTGCCAGTGTGGCTCAGTTGGGCATCATTGCATGCACCAAGGGGTTGCTCATTGGATTCCCTGTCAGTCCATGATTGGTTGCGGTCTAAATCCTGGGTGAGGCTTGTGCAGGAGAAAGCTGATGGGTGTTGTGCTCTCACATCGATGTTTTTCTCTCCCTGTCCCTTCCTCTTTCTCTAAAAATCAAGAAACTATTCTTTAAAAAAACAAAAAAAAACTATACTATCCCTGCCCATTCTGCAATTAATACTAGTTTTCAGATTGATTTCTTCATAGTCTTGATAATTCCATTTTATGCTTCTAAACATTTCTTAAAGTAAAAAGATCTCTTTTCTCACTGATTTTTTTTCTCCACCAGGGAGTGAAAATCTTAATTAGCCAAAGTTATTTTGATTTACTTCTGTATTATCTGTTTGTTACTAACACAGAAGTACATGAGAATTCCATTTAATCTGTTCTCCCAATTACAGTGCCTTCTGTCTCATCTTCATAATTTCCCTAAGTATTTGCAGATCTTGTAATAATACATCAGCCATTTTATAAAGTGAGGATGGAAGTTTTCTGCCTGATTTTTTCCCTTCCAAGTTTCAGATCCAAAAACATGTGTTGGCAGTTTGGCAAAGGGAACTGAAAAACAGCCTTTTTTGTTGTTGTTGTTTCTCTCTTCCTTTCCCTGTTACCCTGTAGCAAGTTTTCTCAACAGGGACACAGTTGACATTTTGAGTCAGATAATTTTTTGTTTTGGTGAACTGTCCTATGCATTAGGACATTTAGCAGTATCCTAGGCTCTACCCTCTAGATGTTAGTAGCATCTCCCATTTGTGACAAGCAAGAATGTCCCCAAACTGCCATATGTCCTCTGGGGTAGAGTTGCCTCTGATTGAGAGCCTTTGCCATATAGTGTAAAATGCATTTAGGGAAAATGGGTTTGGGGGGAAAGATTCAAGGTTGGCATGTAATTAAAATTCCTATCAGATCTTTGAGTATATTATCTAGATCAGAGCTGTTCAAAAGAAGTATAATGCAAATGCAAGCCATATATGCAATTTTAAATTTTCTAGAAGCCACATTAAAAAGTAGAAGTAAGCAATTGAAATTAATTTTAATATATTTAACCCGATATATCCAAACTATTCTCATTTCAACATATAATCAACATAAAGTTAATGAGATATTTTACATCCTCTTTTTCTTTTTGTATAGTCTTCAAAATCCAGTGTGTGTTTTGACATAGTAGTAGATCTAGCAACATGTGAAGAGCTCAACAGCCGCTTGTGACTAGCAACTGCCATAATGGATAGGGCAGATCGAAAGCATCTTGGTCTCTAGATATGGTGGAAATTAACACATAATAAATACTTTTCCTCTCTCATTTATTCTAAGAAACTGTTCTGACTCATTTACTTGAGCAAAAAAGATTCTATACCTGTGTTACCATACAAATCCCCTCCCAGAGCATATAAACTGCCTCTCTGACCCAGTGTGACTAAACTCTTAAGCCCCCATTTTGAATTTCCACCCTTTGTGTCTTGGAGAGGATTAATGTCTACACATTTACTGATATTTACCATTGTTTGTCCTACAACTACAGTGAGTATTCCCTGAGTGACTTTTTGCCAAAACCTTAGTCATAGGTAAAACCAAATAACAAAGGAAGACTAATTAAGGATGTTAACAAATGGGACGGCTAGATTTGTTGTTGTTGTTGTTTGTTTTGTTTTTGTTAGTCCTCACCCGAGGATATTTTTCTATTGATTTTTAGATAGAGTGAAAGAGAGGGAGGGAGCGAGAGGGAGAGAGAGAGAGAGAGAGAGAGAGAGAAACATCAACGTGAGAGGGACACATCAACTGATTGCCTCCTGCATGAACTCAATGAGGGCTGGGGATAAACTGCAACTAAGGTACATGCCCTTGGCTGGAATCAAACCTGGGACTCATTGGTCCACGGGCTGATGCTCTACTGCTGAGCCAAACTGGCCAAGGCCCTCTACCCTTTTTTTTTTTTTTTAATCCTCACCCGAGGACATTTTTCCATATTTTGTTCAGATAGAGTGGGAGGGAGAGAGAGAGAGAGAGAAACATCGACGTGAAAGGGACACATCGAGTGGTTGCCATATGCACGACCCAACCAGGGCCGGGCACAAACTGCAACTGAGGTACATGCCCTTACCTGGAACCGAACCTGGATCTCTGGACTGCAGGCCGACACTCTAACTGCTGAGCCAGACCAGCCAGGGCTCTACCCTTTTTTTTAATTGGGTACTTTGTCTTTCTTTTGTTGAGTTATATGAGTACTCTATATATTTTGGAAATTAACCCCTTATCTGATATATTGTTGGCAATTATGCTCTCCCATATAGTGGGTTCCCTTTCCATTTTGATAGTTGTGTCTGGCAGTCTCAGACCCTTTACAGTGACTTGTTTAACCAACAAATACCATACCCCTGGGTAACAGACTATTATTTCCTCCTTTCTCACCCCACCTCATCCTTTTTTCCTTAAGGAAAAATCTGTGATGGAAAAAGTTGATGCCTAGGGTTAACCAACAGTAGAGAACATGCAAGTTCTTGGCTAAATGTCCCCACACTTGATTCTTCAGTTTTGTCCCAAATCCATTGGAAACCACTAAGACATTCTTCTTTTGACTGTTTTACTTGGTTCTTCACACTTTTAATTGAAATTTCTCTTTGCCCTTTATGCCTATAGACCCAACCTAGAAGGATTTTAGATCTTAAGCTGGCTTTAGTTGTGATAGGGGCTCAGAGAAAATTTGGGGAAAGCTACTTTCAGGTAAAATAAAGGAACTTTAGTGTCGCTTTCTTGACTGGATAGTAGCTGGGATGGGGCCACCTCCTGTCTACTTAGTTTACAAGCAAGAAGAGCTGTGGGGTCCCTGGCTGGGTAGCTCAGTTGGTCAGAGCATCATCCCGATATGCCAAGATTGCAGATTTGATCCCCAGTCAGGGCATACACAGAAATCAACCAGCCCAGCCGGTGTGGCTCAGTGGTTGAGCATCAACCCATGCACCAAGAAGTGGCTAGTTTGATTCCCAGTCAGGGCATATGCCCAGGTTGTGGGACTGATCCCCAGTGGGGGCATGCAGGAGGCAGCCAGTCGATGTTCTCCCGCATCAATGTTCCTCTTTCTCCCCCCTCCCTTCCTCTCTAAAAGCAATAAAGAAAAAACAATTTTTTTAAATCAACCAGTGAATGCATCAATAAGTGGAACAATAACAAAAATTAATGTTTCTCTCTCCCTCTTTTTTCCTCTCTCTCTCTAACATCAATTTTCTAAAAAAAGAAGAAAATCTGTGGAAAAGAGGGCTAAAGGTATAGTGTTCTACGGGAAATGTATATCTAATGAAGAGAGTAAGAAGAGGGAACTAACCAATCATTTTTTTTAAAACAAAAAGACAAATAGAACCATGTTTCAAAACCTGGCTGGTGAAGGAACTGTGGAAAACAGCAGCATCCAAGTGGTTATGTGTTGTAGGCATGTTTTAATGAAGGAACATGGCCAGCCAGCCTAAAAGGAATTTTGAGGGTATCATTCTTTTGAATTACTGCTGTTCATCTGTTCTCTTCATCTCCCCCTTCTAAAGAACAGGTTGGAGCATAAATTATTGTCCAGTAACCCTGTCTTACTTAATTACAAACTGAGGCAGACTTAGCCTTATCTTTTCATTGTCTTTTAACCCAAACCCCTAAATAAATAAAATCTCTATACCTTTTCCTTTTCCCTTTCTTTCATCCTGCCTACAGGCTTCTTTCTACCCTAACAACAAAAAAATTCTGCTTGCATTTTTATTCTGCCTTTCCATAGCCAGCAGCATAGTACTGGCCCCTTTATGGCTGATGGAGCCCAGGCGCGCTGCCTGATGAAGGGAGACAGCATTTGGCCAATGGGGCTGGTGTGTGCCATTACTGCTGGCCATTGGGCCTCTGTCTTCTACAGCTCTGTCCTGACTCATTAAAATCCTAAGCCAAATAACTGGGCAGGCTCCTGCTGCAGCATTGTGGGGGCCAGAAAGTTAAATCGTTCTCCTAATCCTGCATAATTTATCTCCCTGTTATCTCCCCTCATAAATAGTCCATTTCAGCCCCACCATGGAGAGCTTAATTCTGAATTTCCTATTTTTGTGATGACCAATGAGTGCCCAGCCTTTCCCTTCTTCTCTTTTTATTATTATTATTAAAAATTATTTTCCCCTTGTTTACTACGAGTTTGCCTTAATGTTTTTTTTTTTTTTATTTGGACCCTCCTGCCTGGATTTCACTTCAGCAGCAATCTGTCCATTTCTCTCATTTGGACCTAATATTACAGAGCAGTTGGTGCTACAGTCTTCCCCTTCCTCTCTCCTCCCAGCTTTCTAGTGCCTCTTTTTCTCCTTCCCCGTTTTCTCCTTTTAAATCCATCACCTCTCCTTTCACATCACTTCCACTTTTTCTCCTTTCCCTGTACAGTCTGTCTTTCCAGTGACCAACTGTATCTCAGGATGTTTGGTAGGACATTTTTAAAGGGCACTGAATTGCTTTTTTTTTCCCTTCACATCTCCATTTCTGTTTCGTTTCAGAGATTTACAAACGAGGACCACCTGGCCGTTCATAAACACAAGCATGAGATGACATTGAAATTTGGCCCAGCCCGAACTGACTCAGTCATCATTGCAGGTATTTGCTGCCCCAGAACCCACGTGCCTTGATATTACCAGACAGTTAAGATTAATACCAGGGACCAGATGTACTGGGAGCTATACTCCCTATTTCCCATTAAGAGGCCTTACGTGATCTGCATTTAATCAGGAAAAGGGAACAGTAAAAGCTCCCAAGATTCTATTGTGCCCTCTACTCTGTTTTTAATACAAGATTGGGTTCTGCGGTTTTTGAGGGTAGGCGTTTTGAGGTTTTGTCTTAGCTTTTTTCAGTCTATTCCTTTCTTGCCTTCCTTTTATTAAGACATTGGAAGATTTATAGACAAAAGATGCCTTTGACATTTCTCCCTACCCACAATGAAGGGTTGAACAAAAGTAAGGAAGTCAACCTAGTCTGGCTGCTTCTCTTCCACTGGGTGTCAATTTTCCCCGAGCAGGCAGATTGTTAGTTCATCAATTCAGCTTCCCTTGTCAACCCAAACACCATTGAGAGCACATTTCCAAAGCTCAAATAAGACATTTTGTCAGTGGGACTTTCCTGTGCCAATTTGGGTGACCTAGAACCTATCACTGGTTATTTTAGTTTGTCTTGCTCACATATGCCATCTCAAGGACCATTCTCAGCAATCTCTCTCAAACCATGCTGCAGTTCTGTTGTGTCATTTTCAGCTAGACAGACATACAGACCAAAGTGGGCTTTTTCTTTTGATACCATAGGGGTTCTGATTTAGCCTGAGTTAAGCAAGCTTACCTCAATTTTTAACCTCTCTATACTTCTATACGTGAAGAAAGGGGCTTGCCCTTATGGATCTCCTATTCCTTATTACTTAAGCAATTATTGACTAAATATCTACTGTGTACACCAGGCACTTTGCTAGGAGCTTGTAGATTGTAATTCCTGGAAAAGGACATGAGTGGGGATCATTAATAATCCTTAAGAAATCTTGGGAGAGCCCTGGCCTGATAGCTCAGTTGGTTTGAGTGTCATTCTGATACCCCAAGGTTTTGAGTTTGATCTCCAGTCAGGGCACATACAAGAAGCAACCAATTAATGCATAAAAAAGTGGAACAATAAATTAATGTTTCTCTCTCTCTCTCTCCCTCCCTCGCTCCCTCTCTCTCAAATCAGTAAAACCCTGGCCAGTGTTTCTCAGTGGTTAGAGCATTGGCCCACGCACCAAAGGATTTGGTGTTCAATTCTCAGTCAAGGGCATGTACCTAGGTTGTAGGTTCAGTTCCCCACCCCGGTCAGGGCACATGCAGAAGACAACTAATCAGTGTGTCTCTCACGTCGATGTTTCCTTCTCTCTCATTCTCCCTCCCACTCTCTCTAAAAATAATGGAAAAAAATATCCTCAAGGTGAAGATTAACCAAAAAAATAAAATCAATAAATAAAAATTTTAAAAAGAAAAAATGAGCCCTGGCCAGTCTTGCTCAATGGTTAGAGCATTGGCCCACAGACCAGTGAGTCCTGGGTTCAATTCCGGTCAAGGGCACGTACCTCAGTTGCAGTTCGTCCCTGGCCCTGATTGGGGTCGTGCGGGAGGCAACCAGTCAATGTGTCTCTCTCACATCAGTGTTTCTCTCTCCCTCCCACTCTATCTGAAGAAAAATGGAAAAAATATCCTCAGGTGAGGATTAAAAAAAAAAAGAAAAAAATGAGGAAAGCCTAGGAGAAGTTTTAGAGGGAAGTGTGAAAGTGAATAGGGTATAAAGTAGGTAACACATATTTCAATTTATTAAGTCAGGGCATATATTAATGAAAATAATTTTAGTATTTGTAGTACAAGTGAATAATACAAACAAAAATACTAAGAGAATATTAAATGGAATTAATCAGAGACAATTTATGAAAGAGGTAAATTTGAGGCAAGGTTATCAAGTTGGAGAGGTTATTACACATTGGTGGAAAGGCCTGTGCTGAATCTCCAGTAGTGGTGAGAGAAATTGATATAGGACAGTCCCAAGGAAAGAAAGTGATTTCCTGTTATTCTTTGCATGCTATTTCTAGAGTGCTCGTCCCATTGCACATAACTTCAGTTCTCCTATCTAGGCTGGTAATCTCATATCTGTAAATTAAGACCTGGTGTTTCACACGTATTTCAGCCTCTAATCGAACACTTAAACTTGGCTGGCTTTCTGTCGTTCAAATCTTCATGCCGATGACGGAATGTATTTCTTTGTCCCCTAAACCAACTTCTCCTTTTGTTATTCAGTGATGGTATTCTCAAAATCTTGAGTTGTTTTATTTTTTTCTTCAGATTATCTCTGTTCTGTTCCAGCCTGTTCTTCCTGCCACCACCCTCATTATGCTTGGATTCCTCCATAGTATCCTAGCTGGTCTCTCTCCTTGACTAGCCTCTTATTATTTCCATCTTGCCAATTGAAAAGTCAATTTTCCTTAAATTCTTTTCCTCTGCTCAAAATCTGTCATTATCTTCCCATTTTTCTCTTACTTTAAGGCTATTTATACTTGGATTTTCAAGCTTTCTATAACCTAGCCCCATGGTACCAGTCCAACTTTATATACCTAACATGATTATCTTTTGACAGAGATAAACCCTTTTCTTTTCTTTTTTTAATCCTTACCCAAGGACATTTTCCCATTTATCTTCAGATAGAGCGGGAGGAGGAGAAAGGAGGAAGAGAGAGTGAGAGAGAGAGAAACATCAATGTAAAAGAGACACATTGATTGGTTGCCTCCCACACGACCCCAACCAGGACCAGGGATGAACCACAACCAAGGTATGTGCCCTTGGCTGGAATCGAACCTGGGAGTCTTTGGTCCACAGGCCGACGCTCTAACTGCTGAGCCAAACCAGCCAGGGCAGAGATAGACCTTTTTCTCATCATCTATACCCTGTCTCTCTCTGTACCTTTACCTGCCTTACTCCTATCTACCAAATCTTATCTTCTCTCTACCATCAAAAGCCATTTTTTTCTTGTTATTAATCCTCACCTGAGGATATTTTTCCATTGATTTTTAAGTGGAAGGAGGGGAGGAGGGAGAGACATCAATTGGTTGTCTCCCACATGACCTTGACCAGGCCTGGGGATCGAACTGGCAACCCAAGCAACTACCCTTGACCAAGAGTTGAACTCGAGATCCTTCAGTCTGTGGACTGACGCTCTAACCACTGAGTCAAAGGGGCCAGGGCTAAAGCCATTCTTTAAGGCACAGCTCAAGTCCTGCTTCTGGAAACCTCCTAACTGCTATCATTAATTTCTTTATTTAATTTCTGCAATTTTATTCTCTACTGCACATGACACAGATTTTTTTGTATACTAGGATGCTATCTATGTATGTTAGTTTTATTTCCTCAACTAGAAAGCATTCTCTTATTCTCTAGGGCAAGAGCCATGTCTTATATTTGGGCAAAATTCCTGTTTTCTTATTTATCTTTTCCCCCAGATTTCCACACAAGTTTATGCATGTAGCACCAAAACATAGAAAGTATTTAGTAAACACTTGTTGATTGCTTCAGGATCATCAGAGCAGATTAAAGGTTTTCTTATACATTTTCTTATACATTGTTCAGGAATAGGAGAAGTTTGTATGAGCCTCAAATCAGAGATCCAAAGGCCCTCTTCTGCCGTAGCCATGCCCTTAACTGCCCCATCCTGGTTCACCTGAGTTGTAATTTTTTGTGTGCCCTTACTGAAGTTCTCTCTAAGCATAAAGGATGATATTACCTCTACTCACCCGGGGATGGAGGGAAAGTGGCTATATCGTTGGCCAACCAAAGCTGCCAGAGAAGCTTTTAAAACTATTTTGGGAGGTAGTGGTAACTTTTTCAAACACTCTGATTCAGAAGAGGGTTTGTTAAAAAAATGTTTTTTAATTATGTTGTTTCCATGGAAAATCCCACTGGACTATTCCCAATTGATCATGCTAGAAGGAGCGATTTTAACTCCAGGTCTCACTCCTTAAAATATTATTTAAACATTGTTCTATTTCTATCATTCAATCTAGGGGTTTGGAATATAAGATGAATCTGTGAGTTAACTATCATGTCAAGGAAAACCGTCTAATAGAGTTAGGATCAGGGAACAAGATTTAACTGACCTAAGAGAAAAACTAGAAAAGCAGAATGAGGAGAGAGTAGTTCAAATCTAAAATTCAAGTTGCTTGAAAAGTTTCCGTGGATTACCGAGAGCCTTCCTCTTCCCAAGGGCAGGGGCACTCTGTTGAGGAAAGATTTGTGCATCCCCTGAGATAATATTTTGGCTGGCAAATCTAAATCCAAATATCCTGGTTTCCGGAATTTGCTCTGGGCCCAGGTCTCTGTTCTATTGTTTGCAGTTTCCTTTTCTAGCTCATGATCTTGCTGTCTTGTTCCCCAGCCCCTAGATTTGCCTGGAATGCCTTGAGAAGGTAACAGACCCTTACCTCAGTGACCACTGAAAGACAATGAACCATTTCTAATTTGGTAGCATTAGCAAGCAAATTCAACCAACCACCTGATCCTCAGTTTCTTTACATCAGATTTTAACGTTCATCTGCTTATACCTGCTTACTTCAGACCTAGCCGGGAGTAAGTTTAAAGAGAAAATGTTACCTAACTGTACTTGATTTTCAAATCTGGATGTTTCACAAACTCCACCTGGGTGGGTGGTTTGGTTTTGTTTGGGGGTGAAGGAGGTGAAACCAGCCTCTGGGAGAAAGGTAGGTTACATGGGTAGTCACACAACAAAACATTGTTCTGTCTTCTGCCTGCCAGCCTTGAGGCAACACAGCACAGACACCCTCTGGTGGCCTAGTACCAGCCTTCACCTACTAGAGCTCAATAAAAGCAAATTTGCCCTAACACCGAGATTCTCTCCAAACAGAAAAATAAAATGTGTTCTCTCAAGTTTCAATTTCAGGTCAAAACTAACATCGAATTTTCTTTTCTTTTCATGTCTACAGATCAAACTCCTACTCCAACTAGATTCCTGAAGAACTGTGAGGAGGTGGGGCTCTTCAATGAACTAGCTAGCTCCTTTGAACATGAATTCAAGAAAGCTGCAGATGAGGATGAAAAAAAGGTAAGAGGCAGAACTTTAACTGAAAAACTGGTGCTGTTCAGATCTAGGCTATTTTCATTGTGCCTTGGTATAATTTGCTTAATTGGTTAAAGCACAAAATTACAGGCTTTGTTCTACAGAAACAGAGAATACCCACTAATCCTAGTCAGTCTTCTTGGACTCCAGTGGGGCATTACTTAAATTAAAATTATTTGTTTTGAATAATTTGAAGATGTTAAAAGATTATAAGTTTACTCATATTTTGTTAAATAACTTTTTTTTTTTTTTTTTACCAAATCCCACTCCTTTTTTTTAAATCCTCACCCAAGGATATTTTTTCAGTGATTTTCAGATAGAGTTGGGGGTAGTGGGGGAAGACTGAGAGAGAGAGAAACATGGATGTGAGAGAGACACATCAATTGGTTGCCTCCCTCACAGCCCCATCCAGGGCCAGGGATCAAACTGCAATCAAGGTACATGCCCTTGCCCGGAATCAAATCCTCGATGCTTTGGTCTACAGGATGACGCTCTAACCACTGAGCCAAACCAGCCAGGGCCCAAATCCCACTATTTTCTGAGCTAATCAGACTTCTCACCTGGACTTTTTTTTTTTTTTTAGTGTTTTTTCTTTATTGATCCCACTGGGGATTAGGTCCACAACCTGGGCATGTGCCCTGACTGGGAATGGAACTGGTGATCTTTTTGGTGCATGGGTCAACACTCAACCACTGAGCCACACCAGCCAGGGGCACCTGGACTATTTTTATTTAACCAGCCAATCAACAGACATTTATTGAACTTAGACTCTTGTTTGTTTCAGTGTATGAGGCTCTTACCTTCAAGTAGCTTACTAATAATATTGAAGACTTTAAACTTAAAAAGGATTTTTTTTGTTTTTGTTTTGTTTTGTTTTGTTTTGTTTTTGTTAATTCTCACCCGAGGATATTTTTTCCATTAATTTTTAGAGAGAGTGGAAGGAAGGGAAGAAGGGATGGGGAGAGAGAGAGAAATATTAGTGTGAGAGAGACACATTGATTAGTTGCCTCTCATACACGCCCTGACCAGGGCTGGGGATCCAACCTGCAACCTAGGTACGTGCCCTTGACTGGGAATCAAACCCACAACCCTTTGGTCCATGTGCCAATGCTCTAACCTCTGAGCCACACTGGCCAGGGCAATTTTCTTTTTCTTTTTATTTATTTATTTTTTATTCCTCACCTGAGGATATTTTCCATTTATTTTCAGACAGAGTGGGAGGGAGAGATAAAGAGAGAAGCATGAATGTGAGAGAGACACATCGACTGGCTGCCTCCCACCTGACCCAACCAGGGCTGGGGACCAAACTGCAACTGAGTTATGTGCCCTTGACAGGAATCAAACCTGTGACTCTTGTCTGTGGGCTGATGCTCTAACCGCTGAGCCAAACCAGCCAGGGTGGCAATTTTATTTTTTCAATTACAATTTACATTCAGTATTATTTTGTATTAGTTTCAGGTATACAGAATAATGGTTGGACAATCATATACTTTACAAAGTGTTCCCCCCAATATTAACAGTACCCACCTAGCACCATACATAGTTGTTTTAATATCATTGATTGTATTCCCTATGCTGTACTTTGCATCTTCATGACTGCTTTGTAACTAGCAATTTGTACTTCTTAATCCCTTTACCTTTTCCACCAGTCCAACCCCTCTCCCCTCTAGCAAACGTCATTCTGTTCTCTGTATCTATGAATGTTCCAATTTTGTTTGTTTATTTTGTTCATTGGATTCCACATATAAGTGGAATCATATGGTACTTTTCTTTCTCTGACTGGCTTACTTCACTTAGCATAATACCCTTCAGGTCCATCCATGCTGTCGTAAATGATAAGATTTAATTCTTTTTTTTTTTTATCCTCACCTGAGGATATTTCTCCATTTTTGTTCAGATAGAGTGGGAAGGAGAGAGAGAGAGAGAGAGAGAGAGAGAGAAACATCGATGTGAGAGGGGCACATTAAGTGGTTGCCTCCCACACGACCCCAGTCAGGGCTGGGGACAATCGCAGTCAAGGTACATGCCCAACATGACTCATTGGTCCGTGGGCCAATGCTCTAACCCTGAGCCAAACCGGCCAGGGCAATTTAATTCCTTTTTATGGCCAAGTAATATTCCATTGTATATATGTACCACAGGTTTTTTTATCCACTCATCTATTGACAAACACTTGGGTTGGTTCCACATCTTGGCTGTTGTGATAATACTTCAGTGAATATAGAGGGGCATATAATCTTTCAAATTCATGTTTTGGTTTTTTTCCAGATATATACCCAGAAGTGGAATTGCTGGGTCATAAGGCAGTTCCATTTTTTATTTTTTAAGGAAACTCCATACTGTTCTTCACAGTGCCTGTAACAGTCTGCATTCCCACCAACAGTGCATGAGGGTTCCCTTTTCTTCACCTCTTCACCAACATTTGTTTGTTGATTTCTTGATGATAGCCATTCACAGGTGTGAAGTGATAACTCATTGTGGTTTTAATTTGCATTTATCTGATGATTAGTGGCCCTGAGCTCTTTCAGATGTCTGTTGACCATTTGTAAATTCACTTTGAATAAGTGTCTAATCAGATCCTCTGTCCATTTTTTTTTTTTAATCCTCACCTGTGGACATGTTTGCATTTATCCTCAGAGCAGGAGGGAGAGAGGGAAGGAGAGAAACATCGATATGAGAGAGACACATCAATTGGTTGCCACCCACCCGACCCCAATCAGGACCAGGGGAAAACTGCAACCAAGGTACATGCCTTTAGCAGAAACCAAACCCGGGATTCTGTGGTCTGCAGGCCGACGCTCTAACCGCTGAGCCAAACTGGCCAGGGCTCTGTCCATTTTTTAAATAGGATTTTTGTTTTGTTGTTTTTATATGAGCTCTTTATAAATTTTGGCTATTAACTCCTTATTAGATGTATCATTGGTGAATATCTTCTCCCATTCAGTAGGTGGTCTTTTGCTTTGTTGATGGTTTCCTTTGCTATGCAAAAATTGTTTAATTTGATGTAGTTCATTTGTTTCTTTTTTGTTGTTGTTTCCCTCACCCAAGATATATCAGAAAAAATATTGCTAAGAGATTTTACTACCTATGTTTTCTCTTTTTTTTTTTTTTGAGGTGGGGCTTACCAAATTACTTTATTTGAAGGAATGGTACAAATGAAAGGAACATAAGTGGATTATTTGGTACAAGTTATAGAAAAGGCAAAGGTAACTCCAACATTCACTTACTGCTTTGGTGACAAGGAAGTCACCCCCATTGCTGTGAGAAGTCAGCCTAAGGCTTAGCTCTCTTCATTGTCTCCCAAGGTGTGCTTATCAAAGAGACTCTCTGCCATGCCAGTTTCAAGGACCTCCAACCTGCACAAGTTGGTTATGTGGTCACCCAGTTCTTTGATGGATTTCACCTGTTCATTCAGGTAGTGCTTCTCAATGAATTCAAACGAATGAGGGTCATTTTTGTCAGTGGCCAGTTTGTACAACTCCAACAGTGACTGATTCTCACTTTTTTCCCAAGTGTAATGCACACTCCATCGCATTCAGCTCATTCTCCCAGTTATCACGGTCTGGTTTCTTGATATCCTGAAGGAAGATTCGGCCACCTAGTTGGTTCTTCAGCTTCATTAATTTCTTAGCATGTTCTCTCTCTTCATGAGATTGGTGAAGAAAATATTTGGCAAAGTTCTTGAAAGCCACATCATCACAGTCAAAGTAGTAAGACATGGACAGGTAGATATAGGAAGCATAGACCTCCAGATTGATCTGGCAGTTCATGGAGGCCTCTGAATCCTGGTGGTAGTTCTGGCACACCTGCGAAGTGGATGTGGTCACTCGGTCATCATGGTGGGTGGCTAAGAAGAGGGCATGTATGGTGCTGGAGCGGTGGTGTGGGGGCCTTGGGGCAGGCCCAGGGTGCTGTGGGGAGGTGGCAGAAGGCTGGATCTGGGTAACAGGCTGGGATGGGAGTCGAGCACTGGTTCCACCTAAACAGTGTTGAAGCAAGAAACCATGGTGACTCTCAGCAAAGACTGTCCTGCCTATGTTTTCTTTTTTTTTCTTAATTAATTTGTGTGAGAGAGAGAGAAACCTTGATTTGTTGTTCCACTTACTTATGCATTCTTTGGTTGATTCTTTTGTGTGCTCTGACTGGGAATCAGACCCGCACCTTTGGCTATGGTGATAATGCTCTAACCACCTAAACTACCCATCCAGGCCCTGCCTATTTTTTTTTTCTTTTTTCTTTTTAAACTTATCTTAATTGTTGAATGTATTGCACATGTACCCATTTTCCCCCCATTGATCCTCTCTTCCCCGATCCCAACCTCTTCCTGCCTTACCCACGCTATTGTCTGTGTCCATTGGTTATGCATATATGCATATACGTTCTTTGGTTTATCTGTTCCTGTCCCCTCTCCCCACTTCCCTTTGAGGTTCATCAGTCTAACAATCAATTTGTACTTCTTCTTCTTTTTTTTTTTTTACTTTATTGATTTTTAGAGAGAGAGAAAGTGAGAAGGAGAGAGAGAAACATCACCCTGGCCGGTTTTGTTCAGTGGTTAGAGCATCCCCTCGTGGACCAGAGAGACTCAGGTTCAGTTCCCGCTAAGGGCACGTACCTCGGTTGCAGTTTATTCCCGGCCCTGGTTGGGTTGTGCGGGAGGCAGCCACTCAACGTGTCCCTTTCACATCGATATTTTTCTCTCTCTCTCTCTTCTTCTCTCTCCCTCCCATTCTTTCTGAACAAAAAATGGAAAAATGTCCTCGGGTGAGGATAAAAAAAAAAAAGAGAGAGAAAAGAAACATCAATGAGAGAGAACATCGACTTCCTGCATGCCCCACAACTTGGGTATGTGTCCTGACTGGGAATCGAACTGGCGACTTCTCTGTGCATGGATCAATGCTCAACCACTGAGCCACACCCAGCCGGACCCGATTTCTACTTCCTAATTCTTTACCTTTTCACCATCCCCCCAACCCCTTCCCATCTGG